GGCTGGGGAATTCTGGGAGATGAAGTCCACACATCTTAAAGTTGCCAAGGTTGAGAAACACCGCCTTAGACTGTGTTGAGTGAGCATCATGTGTGTGCGCAATAGGACCAGCCTCTCTAGACTGGGCCACTATGTAAAGCTGAAATCAACCCATCTTGTTGCTTTCGATTCTGGAACAGAAGAGCAGAGGCAGAATTGCAAATATTCATAGGCAGAAAAGCTGGGGTGGCAGAGCTGAAGCATACACTGAGCAGAGCTGGGTGGGAATTTATGCAGAAGAGCCAGTGAAACATGACAAAGTCACTCAAATGTTACCGTTGCTATCAGAGTAAAATAAGGTCTTGGGTCCTTATGATGAATCTCAGACCTTGCACTAATTGATCCAGAATGGAAAGCTGGTGCTTAAAGCTTAATGAGGACCTTTTCCTGACACACGTTTTGGTTCTATAACTAAAGCAAAGGGTTGAAAACTGCAATGACCTGGTGGCTCTGGGTTGACCTGCATTAACTGCAAGAAAAAGCTTGGATCTCTTGAAGAAAGAATCAGACCACTAGATGGCAGCAGTGCAATACTTAAAAATCTAGTTTTTTGCTGCCATCTAACCCTCAAGTGGATTTTTGCAACCCACGTATTGGAGTTCCTCTTGCATCATTCCAGCATCAGATTTACTCAGCCCAGTCATAGAGTTGGCCTTGCCTTTTGCGTTTAGCAGGAGGATTCAACAGATATTACTGAGCTACAAAAAACATATGAGTGTTGCATCCTGTGGATTTCTGGAACTGAGATGTAGATGATGATGTAGATGATCCCCAGTAACCCCCACAGATGCTGCCAGATTGATACTTTACTCCTTGTTTCTCCTCATCCTGGGTACAGCTTCCTTGTCCTGCACTGCCCATTCCATTGCAAACTGTTTTTAATTTAACCGTGGAAATACCCTTGGAATTAAGACCTTCAGGAAAAATGGAGAATTGCAACAAACCCAAAGCATTTGCTCAACCTAACACACATTTACTCCATTGATTTTTTTTTAAAATAAATACTTAATCTTCAGTATCAATCTTTCAGTTTTGAATTGAACAGGAAAGAAGACCTTGGCCATGGACAATATAAATTATACAGCAAAGTGAAACAAAGAGAAAGCCCTCCTCCCCCCAATACTCCGCTCCTGGTCTTGAGATGCAGTGAAGGAGGACAATTTTACATTACATACATTAGTTTGGGGAAGAGTTCTTTCCCTTCTTTTGGATAGTGTTAGGTACTATTTAAGCGACATGGTTTCTCTTGAAGAGGTTACACATCCAAAATGTGCGAAATTAAGATGAGGGCACCAATATGTTGAGCTCATGGGAATATGGAAGGGGCCCCCATGAGTTGGGCAGGACCAAGACTCCACCCCAGAATGGGCTTTACTGCTCTGACTGAAACTCCAATGGGTTTCAGGCGCATCCCAGGAATTTGGTATCAACTCCCAGTTCCCAAAGGAACCCATAAATGCCATTTCTTCTCATAGAAGCAGGTGCAAAAGATCTAAGTAAGCCATGTGGCTGCCCACACGTAGAGGAGAAGAGGAGGTGCTCAGGAGAATTGATGGATGCTTCTTCTGCAAGAAGATCTGAAGGCCCTCCTGTTGCTTTGAGAACACCATCACAACCTGGACAGCTTTAAAGAGGCCCCAGAAAGATTCCACTCCAAGCTGGCTGTCTTCAGCAACTCTGCAATATTTTTAGGCACCCACGCTTCCGGGCTCCAGCTGGCCAGTTAATGTTCCCAGGAGCGCTTGGTCTCCTCTTCAAGGGTCCCTTGAGTGTCTTCTAGAAGGGTCTCTGGTGCTGCAGGACACAAAGGGGGGACAGAAAAGGTCAATGGGGAAAAAAAAGTTAGAAGGGCAGGTGTGCTCAGACTTGAGCAGAAGAAAAGGGCTCCATCTTTCTGCATTCCATTTAACTGGACACTTACCTACCCCATTTTTGATAAGGCTGCCCAATTCTATAATAACTCTGGGTGGTGTACAATAAAAATACATATAAAATACAAATGGAAGACCCCAAAACATAACCAAGGACCTGCCACTCTCTCTACCCAAGGCTTGGAAGAAGAGCCAAGTTTTCAAGATTTTTTTTTAAACCCAGGGAAGATGAGAGCCAGATGAAGCGGGGGGGGGGGGGGATTGTGTTTCAAAGGGCAGGTACTGCCTTTGAAGGCCTCTTAATGGTATGGCTTATAGAAATCACCAGATCAGAAGAGGCTGCTGGGGCTGCTGAATCAAACTCCCTGATCTGCAGGAATCCACATTAATCTATTCCTAGCAGTTGGTTGTTCAGCCTTTGCTCAAACAATTCGAGTGAAAGGGAGCCCACCACTGGCTTCACAGTCAAACTGCTCTTATAGTTAGGACAACGTTTCCCAAACTTTAACCAGAATCTCTCTTCCTGTAATTTAAGACACTGTTTCTCAAGCTTAGGCAGTGATGGGAACACAGCATGTGTAAGGCAATTGCAGAGAATTCTGTAGGTTGAAGTCTACAGTCTGAACATATAATTGCAGGGTTGGAAGGAACTTGAAGATCTTCTAGCCCAACCCTTTGTCCAGAGTAGGAATTCTTACGCCAACCTTTGCTTGAAAACCTCCAGCAATGGGGCACCCATGACTCTAGGAGACAGGTTGTTCACTGCTTAATAGCTCTCACCATCAGGGAATTCCTCCTTGTTTCAAGTTTGGATCTCCCTTGGTTAAGCTTCTATGCACTGGTTCTTGTCCTAGCTCCATCCACATCCTCTTCCCTGGGGCAGCCCTTCAAGTATTGGAAGACTACTATCATATTTCCCCTTAGCCTTCTCTTCTTTAGGCTAAATATACCCAGTTCTTTTAATCATTCTTCATATGATTTCACATCCAGGTCCCTCATCATCTTGGTTGCTCTTCTGTGCACTCTTTCCTTAGCTTCCTTTTTGTACTGTAGCGACCAGAACTGGACACAATATTCTCAATGCAATCTGGCTAATGTGGCATAGAGCAGAACAATCATTGTCATGATCGTGACAATGTACCTCTGTTGATGCAGCTGAAGGCTACCTTGGCTCTTTCGGCTGCAGCAGCACATTGCTGGCTCATACTTAATCTCTGATCTATCAGACACACAGATCCTTCTCACAGGTACTGCTTATCTTGTACCTGCACATCTGAAGGCAACTATGTTCAGGGAGAATCCATAAGACCATATTTTGCTGAAACTGGAATCTATTGGCCCTGTTCCCACAACTGGGTCAGTTGGGGTGGGTGGAAGCTAATATATTGTGAGAACTCTCCGAAAGGATATTGAGTAACCCAGTTAACAACCCTCAAGAGGCTAAACTAACTTCAAAGAGCTCCAGTCAACTCATAGGGTAAAACTAATTCCATCCACTTTGTTGCACCATGGAAACACCCAAACCAGTGAACTGACTGTTATGGGAACACAGCAAATGTTAGCTTGGCTTTAGAGCTCAGTGTGTTATGCCAGTCTAGCCAATAGTTAAACCACTTCAATGAAAGGCCTGCATGTCACAATGTACTACACTAGGTTAGGACAGCTTTTTTGTGGCTCAGCATTTGTGCAAACCCAGCCTATTTCATTGTTCAATATATTGTGGGAACTCAGAAAAATGGGTTAATTCAGTAATCAGGTTAAGCATGTGTGAACCTAGCCACCGTGGTGGAGCTCCACAAGCCATCACTGAGTTTTTCCCAAGGAAACCTGTTGGGTGGTTATAGCTCGATAGGGCAGACACACCCCAGGAAAGCTGGTGGGCTTGTCTCCAGGGAACCTGGGAGCTCACTTTGTAGCAGGAGTGCCAGAGAACTTGGCCACAACCTTCTACTAAAGGTCCACACTTACCTTGGCACTGGGAACAACAGCTGTCTCCCTTTTTCCCTTCCCTGGTACAAGAGGTTGGAGAACATTCTTGGCGCTGACAATGTGTTTCCCCAGACTGAAATAAATAAAAAAAAAGATTGTTGGAACAGAGATACCATTACAGAAGACCCCAAACTCACTGGTAGGGAATCATTACGAAGCAAATGGCAACTGATTTCTGCAGGATTAGAATCCTACCCTTGCCCTTTCTATTCTCTCTGTGGAGGTCTATCCCCAGCTGATGTTCTCCAGAGATGTTCTAGTTTTCTCCTATAGGCCTATGATATGAAAATTGTCCAGTCCAGTCTCCTGGCTCTCCTCAACCCTGCCTTTGCTGGATATCATCCACAGCCAACCCCACAAGATTATGACTTGGAATGGCTCATGGTCAAGATTTATGAGAAGTAGGAAAGCAGGGGATTCCCCAAATTTACATTTAAATCGAGTGTCATATCTTGGCATATCTTCCCTCAGATCATTTTTAGGTGGTGGTCTGAAATGGGCAGCTTCTCCTCTAAAGAATTGCTGAAAGCAAACCTTCATGTCATTCCTTATATAATTTCACATTGAGAATCTTTGCCTTATGTTAGCTACCTTCTCTAATCAGGTGCCTCCCTTATGGCTACTGGGAACAGAGCGGCCCTGGCCACCATGGCCACTGCTGCTAGGGAATCCTGAGAGCTGTGATTCAAGACATGGGGAGGCCATTGGACGGAAGGATGCTCTAGGGTTGTTTTCAACCCAGGACGGGTCCAGGAAGTTGTGCTTGACTCAAGAGTTTCTACATGGCTTACAGCTTGCCCCTCTTCTTTCAGTAGAAGAGGAGCTAGGCCAACTCTAAATGCAGGGCCCTTTGGCAGCCCAAGAGATGCAACACCAGAGAAATGCACCTCTTGAACTATACCGGAAGAGCCAGCCACTGAGACAGTCACGGTGTTCCCAGCTTCCTCTTTCCTATGCTGCAGTGTTCCTCTGCACCTGCCAGAAAGATTTGTAGCTCATCTACCAAGGTGGGCTGATGACCTGGGGGTCTGGCTGGTTCTATGGAACACGTCCTCCAGCCTCAGTTCCTCTGCTTAAACAAGCACATCAAGTAGCCACATGGAAGATGGGTTCACACAGCATACTTAAAATCAGGACAAGATGGAGCTGCTACGTGAACCCAACATCCGCAGCTTGCTTAGTGTAAACCTTGCTTGTTCTTGTAGGGCTTAGTGAATTCCTGGAACCCAGCCTGCTGGCAGAGTTTATGATGCAATATATTGTGTGAACCCAGAGAATGGGGTTAATAGAGTAACCAGGCTAACTGTTGTGTGAACTCAACCAATTTCAGTCCCACTAGATGGCCCAGACCAGGCCATCAACTCCACGGGAAAGCTAAAACTATTTTTATTGAGATTGGCTATAATAACAGAATCTTGCAAGTCTTGATTGTTGTGGACCTCCTCCTCCTCCTTATACTTCAGTGAATTAAGGAGGTGTCTATCTGAGCTGCTTCTGAATGTTATTTTGTTGTTCTGGACTTAAAAAATGCTTCGGCCCCTTTTGCCTAGGCCAGTGGTTCTCCAACCTTCTCAACTTAAATTTTAGTGTAGATTAGAACTC